TCGAGAGAGACTGAGAGCGCTATTCATGGATGAAGTGTTCGGTAGATGCTTGTGATTGGGATGGTGGAGCTGTTTTTTCTGGTACTTAGGATACTTCAAGAATAGCATCCGTGTCTCTAAATGATTTCATCGATTTACGCTTGACAACATCTGCCCATCTCTCCCTGTTCTGTGGCATTTTATAGCTGATTGCTAGTTGTTGATCAAGGTGAACTTGCTTACTGTTGTAGTGAATCGGAATATCTTGGTCGACTCCTCGATCTCTACATGTCTCAAGCACATTACCACTGGCAAGAACCGGATGTTCTTCTTTGGCTTGAAACCAATGTGGAAAAGGTTCTTCAACTGGTAGAGCCAACTATTGTCGACCCTGCTAATCCTTCCGTCAAAATTCAAAATCCTTCACCGGATAGACGTCTGAAGGCTTACTCTAATAAGTGAGATTATTTTAATTCATTTTTTTTATTTTCAGCTAAGTTATTAATTTTGGTCATTTTTAAAAGCATTCGTTGTTGCGTTAGTCTTCAAAACGGCCATCATCATTCTGCTGTTATCCCAAATTAGGTTGATCATTTTTGCTTTTAATTCGAAATGAATTGAGCTACTCATTTATTAAAATGTTCTATCTAATTTCCGATCTGCGAAGTCTAGTCGCATGGCCGCATTATTATAACGAATTGTGCTTACATATAAATTTGATTGGTTGTTAATGAAGGCGCTCAGTAACAATAAGATTATTGCAGTTATATTTTGGTGCAGTACTCTGATCAATGTCTTTTCTACCCTGTTTATATTATACGAGTTTCCGATAGATTACCTTGTCTTCTGATTCAAATTTGATGGAAGTTTCTTTTTAATATTGATCTGAATAGGGTGTAGTCTGTCTTTTTTTAATCTTTGTCAAGACATTTCCCCAGCAATCCTTTGTGCAAACTCTTTACATTCGATTCCTAGGTCCTATAATAAGCTTTCTTCTTCTTCTTTGGCTTTTTCAGACGAAAACGTCTCTACAATGAGGTCCCAAGAAATGTTCTCCGCCATCTTTTCCTTCGAGAATTGGACGATGCACCTCCTATTGTTCCTCCGGTTTGTTGAATCTTCGGTGTTTGTTTTGCCTAATTTCAAAAAAGATGCTGATGTTCATTCTTTCTTCCTCCTCCTCCTCCTCCACCTCTTTTAGGAGTTTGCCAACAAACAAATCTATCCTCTAGATCCGTTTCCTCCCGCCGACGCTATCAACACCTACGATCCCGACGCTGAAAGGTGCACGTTTATTAACTGTCTTTAATCCTCTCTCTCTCTCTCCCACTTAGGTGTGTGTTCTTTGTTGTAGAAGATCCACGTTACTGAGCAAAGCAGTAACTCTGGGCCTTCGTTTGTGCCTTTATCGAGTCCTATATATATTGCACATTTTCGGTGACATGGGTGACTAACCATATAGGTAGACGGGGTTGGTAGTATACGTCCCAAATTTGGTGTTGGGGGGAGACGAATGGTCAGAGGATGCGGCAACTCCACTCTGGGGGAGTTAATTATCCCTATTAGTGGTAAAACGTTCATTGGAAGGTTTCATGTTTGGCCAAGACTAGTATTGATTTCACACAAGGAGTCATAACTGATTATCAAGCTTCAAATTGGGTTCAGTAAACCTAAGCGTAGTGCTTGTTTTAAATAGGCTAATTTACTCATAGTTAACATTCTGCACACCGGTCTTGAATGTGATGAGGATTGCCGAATCTCCTTTTTGAATACCTGGTTAAAAATTTCAGGCCTATTTGTTATGATTTTAGTCGAAATGGCCAATCGACGGAGGGGGGATTGGTGGGTTTTCTCAACAACTTCTTCGCCACCCTTTGGCCGTCTATTCCCTCCGAGCAACAGGATGTGAATCACTTGAATAACATCTTGGCTCAATTCGGACTGGCTGTTGCCGTAGATGAAGGAGGTAGTACGGAATCGGAATCCGAGGAGGGGGAGCATTCGAACTCTAATTACCAAAATGACTATGAATTCGACTAGATTTTGAGCGAATGATTGCTATTTTCCACTCTCCGCTTGCTTTCATGTGAATAAAATGACTGAATTGGCTATCTCTACTACCTCTGGAGTGGTTTGGGAAAGTGGGTGATTGAGTGCTAGTTAATAGCTTGATAGGAGCTCGCACTGTTTTGGAAATGTTTTCCATACTTTTGAAGTGTGTGTTATTTTCTTGATTACTTTTTTCGCTCTTTCTGGTGAACAGAGCAATCACTTGTGCCACTCGATTTCGTACAATCAGTTCGCTTATTGATTGCGCCTTGGCTCTACTTCAAACACCTGGGGTTGACTAGACAATGTTCAAGGATAATTGTGAGGACTGTAGTGATAAAGTTGGAGGATATACACCGTCGGGGTTAAAGGTTTCATAGTAGAAGCGGAGTAATTTCTTCACTGACTAACCAGAGAAGTGCAATCACCAGCGCCTGACGATTAGAAAGTCAGGTTAGGTAACATGACGAAAGGGGTTATTAAAGTTTATTTATGTTTATTTATTTCAAATGGCAGGCGTTTTGATAGCTGACTTCGGGCTTCACAGGGGTAAGGAACATCAAAGTAACAGAAAGTCGAAGGGTGGGGAACAGAAGAGTGATTTACAGATGTAAAGAGACAGACATGAAGGCAGAGAAAAGGTAGGATGAGTACTGTAGAAGGGGTCGAATATGACAAAGTGGGGTTATGGGAGTTTGAAGTCAGAGGTCAACTGCCAGTTAATAGACTTTTTTGCCGTATGAGTATACGTTGCCGAGGGTGCACCACGTGGAGGTAAGTCTATCACGCACCCCGGGTTATTAAAGTCGAGTCGAGCTCTTTGCGAGATAGTGATTGAAAAATGACTTATGTGAATCAAGAGCATTTAATGGAAATTTAACCAGAAGTGGAAGATGAGAAAATGGTAAAGTTATTGTCAACACATCTGGCAAGAAGTGGCCTTTCGATCCTTTGATGAAAAGGGGTTATAAAATTTAGCAAAACGAACAGAATGTCAAATTTGACCACCCATGGATGTTGTAACGCATAGACGAAGCAAGAAGAGAAAGCCACTTTATATTTCTCTTAATTAGAGGTAGTTGGACTTGCCATTCGATAGGGCCAATTAAAACGTTAGTTGCAATCAATAGTGAGACAGAAAAGCCAGAAATTGGGACATTTTGCCCAAGTTTATTTACAAGCTCATCTATAAATTATTTCACCAGTAAGATAAGTAAAATCACCTTCTAGAGTGTTAAATCAAGGTGGTTAATTCACTTAGCCAACTGTGAAACGTCTTGCTGGCAGCCATTACCCACTATGGCAAGGAAACTCTGTACCATTTTACTTGGGAAAAAAAATCCGTTGACAGGTAAGAATCACAAAGCCAGTGAGAGCAATGTCAAGGTTACAGCAGGTCACAATTCCATTATTCTCTCCCTGTTCCTGAAAACGATTGTCTGTGACCTTCAATGTTTATTTGACGGTATTACTAATTCAATAGGGATCTGACTCACTGCCTCACTCCACTTCCATCTCTCAGTGGTTGAGATAAGATCGTGAAAAAATTGAAGGTTTGTCAAGCAAGATGCATGCAAAATCGGCAAATACTATGTAGGCGGAATACATTCTAGAGTTATTAAATGGTGAATAAGGCTGGGCATTGACGATGGGAAAGGCTTGAATAACAAGTGATGATTCAAATGCACCTTCAAACCAATCAGCGACTCAAATCATCTCCTGTTAGCAGAGAGAGAGGTTTAGTATCAACCAAGGAAATCCCTTTATCGCTTGAAATCATCAGGGAACTAGAGGTGAGATAAAGGTAACAGGAGAAAATAACTCCCTCCATATTCCTACCAACTTAATGGTTTCAGGTGCAGATTAAGCATCTCTCAGAATCATTTCTGGATGCAATTTCAATATGGATCTTAGTGAATGAAAGTGTCACCTTCATTCACTATGTCAACAGGCCTACAAAACTAATATGGGTATTGGCATCAATTATGATTTGAAGACAATTTTATGGCAACCAATTAGACAGTTTTACTCAATTAAACACACAACAATTTACTTTTCACGTGCATACGTCCTTTTATTTGACCTTTATCTCATTCTTGTTTTAAATGAATGAGCATATTGAAAATTATGGCGGGTAAGTAGGCCACTTACGGGGAATGCGTGGTTTATATAAAAATATATTGAATAGTAATATTAATTTATTTTAAATGGCGGGCTATATGATGCTTATCATTAGCCATTTAGCTAACTTCGGGCTTCACAGAGGGGAAGGACCATCAAAGTGAAAAAAAGTTGAGAGGTGGAACAGAAGAGTGATTCAAAGATGTAAAAGAGACGGACAGACACAAAGGCAGAAAGGGTCGAATAGTTTGAAGTCAGAAGTCGACTGCCAGTTTATAGACTTTTTTGCCATATGAGAATACGTTGCCCAGGGTGCACCACGAGGAGGTAAGTCTTTCTCACACCCCTTAAATAGTAATATAATATTGTGATATTTTAAGTGCATAACCATATTGCACAATTTAGAATGAGTATGTCTCCTGCGGCTCAAAACGATAGTAATTTTTCGAGCAAAATATTTTTTTGGAAAAAATTTAGATAAGTGGAAAAGCACTGATATGGCAACATTGAAGAGATTTCATAATCAAACAAATGTTCGTTTTTTTTACCGCCCAACACCGATATGAAAAAAATTTCCAATAACTCGCCATTCGTCATTTTAATTTTATTTATTTGGGAGGCAATCGATAGAACATTTTAATTGGGAGACTAATCTAGGAGGGGGAGGGGGGGAGGAGATTTTTCAGCGTCCGACATTTTTTTCCCTAATGGCTGTAAGCACTTAACGTCTTGTCCAATACACAAACAAGGGTCACCTTAAAATTCCCATCTCAAAGCGCTGCCTTTCCGAGATTAGGTAGATGCAAATTTGGATTTGGCCTCAACAGGTTCAGGGCAAAAAAAATTGAAATTAACCGTTAAAAAAGTAAAAAAAAATGTCGGTTAAAATTGCTAACTGAGCAAAAACAACCGAAATGAAAACCGTTTTGATTTGCGTTGAGTTTGGCGAAAAATAGCTTTATTGGGCATTGACTTTTTGGGGCATTGAAAAAATGGATACGCATGTTTTGTCTCTATTGGAAAATGGGTGTTTATGGAAATCATATATTTTGACGTGATATCACCATTTTTCATTCATTACCTCAAATTTCAGAACACTCTTTATTATGCACTAATAAGTGATTGTTTATAAGAACTTTAAAAGTATGATTATTCCATATAAATAAGATCGAAGTTTGAGGATTTAAGTAATTCAATGTAAGTCCTTCTTCCAAACTCAATTGATGGTGTGGGACAAGAAGTCATTGCGGATATGGATGCTTCAATCCATATACTAACCTGAAATTTATTTATATCAATTGACAGGCGTTTTGATGGTTATCATTAGCCCATTAGTTGACTTCAGGCTTCATAGAGAAGGAACATCAAAGTGACAAAAAGTCGAGAGGGAGTGGGAACAGAAGAGTGTTTCACAGATGTAAAGAGACAGACAGATACAAAGGCAGAGAAAAGGTAAGATGAGTACTGTGAAAGTGGTCGAATATACACACAGTGAGGTGATGGTAGTTTGAAGTGAGTATTCAAACCGTCAGTTAATAGACTTTTTGCCATATGAGTATACGTTACCCAGGGTACACCACGTGGAGGTAAGTCTATCGCGCACCCCATGCCCTTAATATAACCACCTTTCAGATTGTTGAAGCCTGAATTATATTTTCCGAAATATATCTTTCAGGTGATAATGCACAATATCGAGCGCCTCTTCCACTCATGAAAACAACTGAATAATTGCAAATGGTGGTTGTTTAAATAATCATTTTTTTCTAAAAAGAAAAGCGTTTGTATTCTGCTTTGAGGCTTAATGATTAGGGGGGAAATATTTGGTTATGCAGAGATATATTTTACTCATATAAATGTTGAGTTAAAAAAATATTTAAAAAGTCGCGTTTAGTGTCGCTCTCTCTCTCTCTGTTTTAAATCAATTAAAAATTAAGTCTTTTCAAGAGGGAAAAACCCTAATCCTTTATGCCAACTAATTTTTAAAATCGCAATCACGCTATTTTCCATCTCCCTAATTTTTATTAAATATGCAAGGCTCGAGGGTGTGAGTGAAGTTTTTTATGAAAATTCAGGCCATTTCAAACTATTTTAAATAAAAAAAGAGTTGCAGGAAATGCGATGATTTATAGTTGCCTTCTACAAAATTGAAATAAATAATAAAAAATATAGCAATACTTTTGCGGAGAACAACTAAATTTTATTATTAAATATAGATATTTATCTCATTTATTCATTAAAACATTTCAAGTACATCAAAAAAATTGCGAATCGAAAAGCACCTTATAAATAGACCTGGAAATCAGCTTGCTATGAGGAAGAATACACCCGTCCGCACTCATGGAGAGTGGACCTATGAGGAGGTTGGATAAAGAGAGGTCTGAACGGTCATTGGATGAATCAAGAAATATTTATTTCAAATGGCAGACGTTTTGATAGCTATCATTTGCCATTTAGCTGACTTCGGGCTTCGCAGAGGGAAGGTTAATCAGAGTCGCAGAAAGTCGAGGGGTAGGGAAGAGAAGAGCGATTCACAGATGTAAAAGAGGCAAACAGACACAAAGGTGGAGAAAAAAGTAAGATGAGTACTTTGGAAGGGGTCGAATATGATATACAGTGGGGTGATGGTAGTTTGAAGTCAGAAGTCAACTGCCGGTTTATAGACTTCTTTGCCGTATGGTATACGTTGCCCAGGGTGCACCACGTGGAGGAAAGTCTATCGTACACCCCCTGGATCAAGAAATATGCGTGACTTCATGACTCCTGCTAGAGAGTAGAGATTTGTGATCAGAGCAAGATGATCGCCACCTTTCATCACTTTTACTCTTAACTTCTTAATTCCTCATCTCCATTGCTCATGCATCTCAACGGCC